ACTCACTCACACACACACACACACATACACACACACACCGTACATGCTCAAACACACACACACTCAGACATACACACACATGCTCAAACACACACACACACACACACACACATACATACATACACACACACACCGTACATGCTCAAGCACACACTCACACACACACACACTCTCTCTCTCACACACACACACACTCTCTCTCTCACACACACACACACTCTCTCTCTCACACACACACACACTCTCTCTCTCACACACACACACACTCTCTCTCTCACACACACACACACTCTCTCTCTCACACACACACACACTCTCTCTCTCACACACACACACACTCACTCACTCACTCACACACTCACACACACCGTACATGCTCAAGCACACACTCACACACACACACACACAAACATGCACACACACACACACTCACTCACACAAACAAACATACATGCACACACACATGCACACGCACACACTCACACACACACACACTCACTCACACACACGTGTGTAACTGTAACTGACTTACAAAAATTTAAAAATAGTTTAAATCGAGAAACTGACTTACACTGTGTCAGAGTTACTCCATTCTTCCACCTAAAGCAAAGAGTTCATTTATTCTGTCTTTTCCTCAGTTTAATAATAGTTTGTGATGTTTATTATTCACTCTCGGTTATTTAAGGAGCAGAGCGAGTGTTTCTTCTGGTGCTAGTTTCCTCATTATAGTTGTACAGAAAGGCTCTCTCATGTCCCATCAGCCGGTTCGAGGTGAATCCAAATCACTTTTATTGAAAAAAAACCGCAGCAGAACGAATGTTTGTCTCTTCGTCTGAAGTCTTGATGATTTGATCGCACTGAAACACTTTTAATGATGTTTTTGTGCGCTGGATATTATAATTATTATCAGTGAACGTGTGTGTATCAGCTGCACACCGGACACGCTTCACTTCGACGCACATGTTGTTGTTGTTGTGCTTCCGTTCTGTTCTTATCACGTCTAAAGCAGCTGCAGATCAGTTTATGACTCAGTCTCACCTGGATCAGGAGTAAATGACTGTGACAGACGATTGAGAGACGACTGCTGTTAAACTCTTTAAACAGCAAAACTCACTCTGTTTGCTTTAACGGACCGTTTGCACATTTCTGGGGTTCTCAGAAACAGAAGTTTGATTGATTGGATAAACCTCTTTTTAGAGGTTTATCCAATAAACCTCACACATGCACACACACACACTCTCTCTCACTCACTCAAACGCACACACTCACTCAAACACACATATACACACACACACACACACATGCACACACACACACACACACATGCACACACACACTCACTCACTCACACACCCACCCACTCACTCACTCACTCACTCACACACACACACACACATACACACACACACCGTACATGCTCAAACACACACACACACACACACAGACATACACACACATCCACAAAC